CAGTGGGAGAGGGGATCCCAGCCCCACCCGGAACCAGGGGCGGATTCTCTCCCCCAGGAGGGAGCCGGGTGGGAAAGTGAAGATCGGGGCCTCGTCACCAGCATTTATAAATGTCACCTGCCCCCGGTCACAGTCCAGGCAAACCCGGATCCTGCTGGGGGCCCGGCTCAGGGGTAGGGGGGTTGCAGGGGAGGCGAGAGCCAGGAAATGCTCCCCACACAGCCGCACGGCCCAGATCCCCCCCTCTGGGGTAAGACTGATCTGTCCCTTCCTGTTCACAGACTCTCTGGCCACCCCCACAGCCCAGTATCCCCCATTCCCCACCTCCACCTCCCAGCAATGTCTCCCCGAGGTGAATTTCTCACAGCCCAGCACACAGAGCTCAGAGTCAAATCTCTCAGGGTTCTTGGGCCGTGGCTTCCGTGTGTCCGCCTGCCTCACACCTTTCCGATCCCCGGACAGGACGAGGTCAGGATGAGCCGTGTCTGGATCCAGAGTCACAGTCACTGCGGGGAGAGAATCAGAGTGTGAGGGGCCAAGCTCAGCCCAGGGAGATGCTGGGGCCATTTCTCACCCACCCCAGCAGCCCTGTTGTGGCTGGGACGGGCCTGGGTTCCCAGGAGCTGCCTCCGCCCTCGGCCCCTGAGGCTGAGCCGAGCTGTCACTGCAGTGCCTCACCTGGTGGAGTTGGACCCACTTCATCCGTTTCCTCGCTTGTGTGCAGAACTTTGGGCGGGTGCTACTCGGGGAGCGGGTATCGGTGCAGCCGCCTGGGCAGGAACTCAGCCCCAACGTGGGTGTCAGGAATGTGTGTGTATCACATCAGCTGGGGATCCCCCCGGGAGTTCTGGAATCTTGGTCACATCAGCTGGGGATTCCCCCCTGGGAGTTCTGGAATCTTGGTCACATCAGCTGGGGGTCCCCCCGGGAGTTCTGGAATCTTGGTCATATGTGGTGGGTGGGTGTGTGTTGCGGGGGGGAGGATACGAGGCTCCAGAGCCCGTGACCTTCCATGGCTCTGCCCCACTTTTCTTGCGACTGAGGCCCCACCCCTTGGCCAGACTGGGAGCCTTGGCTGCTGTGGAGAGACTCTGACTCTCTACCTGGCCTGGGTCAAGATCCAGGGGCCTTGAGAGCAGCCCCCAGCCCACGTGCCTGCTCCCTGAAGTGCCTGCCCAGGGCAGGTGGAGGGTCCAGGCCTCTTCAAAGCTGCCCAGGCTCAATGGGGACCAGACCAGCTCTGCCTTCCAGCCTGGCCAAGGCCTGGGAGGAAGAGGCGCAGAGGTGAGACCACTGGGAGGGACCAGCACAGGGAAGAGGCTGCCTCTGCCCCAGGCAGGGGCTGTATTTCATTGAGGGCAGGGGGTGGGGGAGAGAGCTGATCAGATGCCCCACCACAAAGCGCAGCCCCTGTCTGCAAAGCTCCAGCCCCGCCCAGGGCTTGCAGCTTGTGGGGTCACAGCCCCCAGACTATCCTCATGTTAAGATGTAGGAAGGCTACTTCTTAAAATGGGCAGGCCACAGGCCCCCTGGTCACATGTGACCCTGTGCCTCTGGGTCTCCTCACTGGTCAGTGAGTTAGTTTCAGGGCTGAGCGTGGCACGGTCGCTGTGGGTTTGGTTGGTAACTTTAGCTACAATCTCAGGAAAATGCTTTCACTGGAATTTTCTCTTCTTTTAAAGACATTTAAATATTTAATTTAATCTCCACTTGAAATCTCACCCTGTCTGAATGCTCCTAGGGATTTTCCTCTTGCTCCCTCCAGGGCAAATGGCAGAGTGTCTGGTGGGCAAAAGGATAAAAAGGAGGTGAGATTTCAGGCTCTCATATTTATAACAGCATCCCCCTCCACACAGACTGCATTTAAACTATGACAGAACAGGCTGGCTGTGTCTAGACTGGCCAGTTTTTCCGGAAAATCAGCCGCTTTTCCGGAAAAACTTGCCAGCTGTCTACACTGGCCACTTGAATTTCCACGAAAGCACTGACTTCCTACTGTAAGAAATCAGTGCTTTTTGCGGAAATACTATGCTGCTCCCGTTCGGGCAAAAGTCCCTCTTGCACAAAACTTTTGCGCAAAAGTCCCAATGTAGACAGCTGAGATTTGTTTTCCGCAAAAAAGCCCCGATTGCGAAAATGGCGATCGGGGCTTTCTTGCGGAAAAGCGCGTCTAGATTGGCCACGGACGCTTTTCCACAAAAAGTGCTTTTGCAGAAAAGTGTCCATGGCCAATCTAGACGCGCTTTTCCGAAAATGCTTTTAATGGAAAACTTTTCCATTAAAAGCATTTCCAGAAAATCATACCAGTCTAGACGTAGCCACTGAGACAAACACCGGTATTTAATAATAGAAGATTTCTGGGTCTCTTGTGCGATAGTCTAGACTAGAAGATTTAGCCAGTGCCACTCAACTCCTTAACTCAATTCATTGTTGTGGGTTTATTATTGAAATAAAATGAAAATGTACATGGTGTGGAGAAAGTGAACAAGGAAAAGTTATTTACTTATTCCTGAAATATAAAAACTAGGGGTTACCAAATGAAATGAATGGGCAGCAGGTTTAAAACAAATAAAAGGAAGTTCTTCTTCACACAGCGCACAGTCAACCTGTGGAACTCCTTGCCTGAGGAGGCTGTGAAGGCCAGGACTATAACAGGGTTTAAAAAAGAGCTAGATAAATTCATGGAGGTTAAGTCCAGTAATGGCTATTAGCCAGGATGGGTAAGGAATGGTGCCCCTAGCCTCTGTTTGCCAGAGGGTGGAGATGGAGGGCAGGAGAGAGATCGCTTGATCATTACCTGTTCAGGTCACTTCCTCTGGGGTACCTGGCATTGGCCACTATTGGCAGACAGGATACTGGGCTGGATGGACCTTTGGTCTGACCCTTCTTATGTTCTTATGGTTCATTTAAATCATTGCTTGGGGGCTGAGGCTGGGGGTGAGGGGTTAAGCAGGCAGGATGCCCCAGACAACCCCAGCCATCTCTCACTGCAGCCACTTGGGGCCAGGCAAGAAGCCTCTCTCCATGGCTTCTGCAGCTCCTGGTCTTCCCTAAATTGTACCTAGGTGGTAGGAGGCTCGGGTTTGGAACAGTCCTGGGGGCCATGCCCTCAGACAGCCCCCTACACCTGCCTGGTGATTTGCTTTGTTTTCTGGTTTTCTGAGAAACAATCCCATTCTGGGCACATCCCATTGTCCTGGCACAACCAAACCCTGACCTTGCTTTAAGGGGTGGCAAGAGGAAGCTGTGCTCCGAACTGGCTGGTCCTAGCTCTTACTGTTTAGAAGGGGCTCTGTGACAGGCTGGGTGCAGGTCTAAGAAATGGCCTTTAATTGACGGCTTGTCGTTCAAGTCATTCAATCCATGTATGGAGAGCAGAGGAGTCAGTAGCCCACCCTAAAGTTGGAACCCCTGACGTCATGCTTGAGGGCTGCTTAAAACAGAGGCAGCCTTGGTTCCAGAGGCAGCTCTGAACTGTGCCAGAGTATGGGCTACTTCCAGGCAGGGGGCCCAGCCACTCTGAGAACCAAGCCCTGGGGCCTAAAGGTCAGCACCCAAAATCTAAACTGTCACTTTCTCCTCCTTGATCCCTTCTAGGTACCTTTGAACTCCCTCAGACTCTCCGACAGGGCAGTAGCTTTCTGGGAGAAACCACCGATTCGTTTTTCCAGTTCAAGAGAAATCTCCTCGGGCTGCTGGAACTGCCCCGTCTCACACCTGGAGAGAAACAATGTCACAGGGTGATACTGCACTGAGTGACTCACTTCTTCAGTTCTGGCTACCGAGTCACTGCTCTCATGGGCTTGGAGTTAGAATCTCTTTGCTTCTCCCCTGGCCATTCAATCTTCCCCTCAACGGATTTCTTACGCTGTGTCTACATTGGCATGATTTTGCGCAAAATCTTGCCGCCTGTCTACACTGGCCACGAGTATTTGTGCAAGAACACTGACGTTCTACTGTATGAAATCAGTGCTTCTTGCGCAAATACTCTGACGCTCCTGCTCAGGGATAAGTCCTCTTGCGCAAGTGTTCTTGCGCAAGACGCCAGTGTAGACAGGTAACATCAAGTTCTTGCGCAAGAAAGCCCGATGGCTAAAATGGCCGTCAGAGCTTTCTTGCGCAAGAGAGCGTCTACACGGGCACGGATGCTTTTGCACAAAAGCAAATCTTTCGCGCAAAGGCACATGCCAGTGTAGACACTCTCTTACTCAAATACTCAAACGCAAAAACTCTTGCGTTTAGAGTATTTGCTCTAAATCTTGCCAATCTAGACGTAGCCTTAATATTCTTGAAATCTGGCCTGGGGAGATCAGCTCTGGGGACAAAAGGGGAATTGAGACTCCACGGCCAGCTCACGTGTGGGCCTCCAGGCGCTGAGGAACAGGAGGTTCCCAGGGGAAGGGCTGTGGGAATCTGCCCGCTCGGAACAAGACTGAGACACCAGCTCCCCCCTCCCCAGCTCATGCCACACAGGTCTCCAAACAGCCCTTGGGCGGGAAAGACTCTTGACCCTTACTGCCCTAGGCTGAACGGTGCCCAGTGCCCAGCAGTGACAGGCCCATGTTCCACCCCCACACACAGTCCGGAGGCAGCCAGTCCCCAGGGAGGCGACAGCTCTAGGAAACTCCTGAGGTCAGACTGTGCCTCTGAATGGAGAATTCCAGAGTCTGCTGTGCCAGGGTGAGACCCTCAGGTTGAAGTTGATCAGGGAGATTTGTGCCCAGCCTGTGCCCTTCCTCCTCACATCTGGCTGTAGAGCCCTGGGGGGATGTGGTGCTCACATCAGCTCCAAGCTCCTTCCCAGAGTTGGGCAGCGTGAGGGGGGTGAGGGAGCCACGTACCTGCTCAAAGCACTTCTGGCATCCTGGAGGGGAGAGAGAGAAAAAAAAGAATCTCAGCCCCATCGGACACACACACAGGGGCTAGAGAAGGGATTTCACAAATCTGTGATTCCCCTGAGCGAATGGGGCTTTGCCATCTCTAATATCTCTGTGCCTGTAGCTCTGCAAAGCACAACAGTCACTCACATGTCAGCAATGCACACGCCCAGTTACACCCAGATCTGACGGCTGTGACCCTAGTGCGTGTGATTCAGGAGCCTCCCTTCCCTGTGCGTGGAGCTGGGATGTTTCTCCCTCAGTCTCACCTGCAGGAATTCACACGCTGGCTGCTGACACTTCCCCTCCAGCTCCCCGATCAGCTGGCTGAGACAGGAAATCTGCGCGGAGAGTTTCCGGACATTGTCAGCCTGGAGCCTCCCAATCTCCTCGTCCAGCTTCTTCAGTTGGGCCAGCAGCAGTCGCTCTTGAACCTCCAGGAACTGCCGCAGCTGCTGAAACTCGGCCACAATCCTCTGCCTCTCGGCTTGTGTCTGTTTCTGGATGAAAACAAGGAAAGGGCTGGTCAGGGGCATGAATGGAGCCCGGGGCCCTTTCATGGGGAGCTGAGTGCGCAGCAGGGACAACTTCTTGGCAAACCCTGAAATTTCTGACATTTGACTCTACTCTGTGGGAACAAGGCAGAGGAATCTCTCGAGCTTCCCCTTCGGCCCCTGGGTCCCTCTGAAAGGGACGGTTCCCTGCCCATCGTGGGCAGCGTGTTTTGTTATTCATGGGTTGTAGGAATTCACAACCAGAGCAGCAGGAGGCAGGACTCAGCCCCAGCCTGGCAGAGATGCCAGGGGACAAAAAAGAAACAAAAAAGTTAGTGCACCAAGTGGCCAGACCCAGCCGACAGCCCTTCACGGGACCATTCAGCTCCCTGAGGGATGATTTCTGGGAAAGTCACATTAACTCAGCTGAGGGCCTGTCCACACGTGGATCTAACCCAGCAATCCATGGTCTTGGAGAAACTCACTCTCCCACTTTTCCCAAGGCCACACAGGAGTCTGCCTCCAAACGGCCCTCCCCCTGTCTGCCCCAGCCCCTTCATAACCACAGGCACCTACCAGATACTCCTGGCTTCTCCTCTCTCCTGTCGCTTTCCATCCCAGTAGCTTTTCCCTCTCCTCCCTCAGAGTCTTCAAACGGGCCTGAAATTTCTCCTGAAGAAACAGACATGAGTGGGGAGGTTTCGTTGGGAGGGCCGAGAGGGGTGACGAACGGGGCGCTGACATTTCTCCTGAAGAAACAGACATGAGTGGGGAGGTTTCGTGGGGAGGAGTGAGGAACGGGGCATTTTTCCATGCAAAGCCAAAGTGAGTGTTGGTCCCAGTCGCTGTGTGACAGCCGGGCCCACCAAGGAGATGAAACCTTATTAATGGAGACAGGGGCTGTGGCCAGGAGCAGCCTGAGGCCAGCTGCGGCAGCTGGTGCCCCAGGCAGAAGGTGCAATCGGCGTCCCCGCCTGCACGGCCGTCAATGGCTGTGACGTCATCATGGGGCACCCCTGGCGCCCCGTGACATCATCATGGGGCGCCTGGGCCGGCGGCGCCCTAGGCAACTGCCTAGTTTGCCTAGGCTCACGGACCGCCCCTGAGTGTGACATCATCTGATCTGTTACCAGTTCAGAGTCTTTTTAGACGGGTCTAATTAGAGAGCGATCTCAATTATCACCCAGCTTTATGGGTATCAGTGAACTGATTAGTGGCACAGCATGCAACAGGCTGTGGATCATACTGGGGGTGAATTGGGGTGCATCTAGACCACTGTTTTTTAACCATGGTACGAATACCCTTAGAGGTACGCGAGAGAAGTCTAGAGGGGTACGTCAGCACAATTGAAATGTGGAGAAAACTGAATTTTTGTGTTAAGTTTTACAGTGCTTTATTATTTTTGTAATTTTTACACCCAAAAATTTCATCACCTGCCCGGCTACAATTACCGTATTTTAGCAAATATATCCCGCACCTGAATATGCCCCGCACCCGAATATACCCCGCGATTTTTCCAAATGGAGTAAAAAAAATCTTGTATACCCCATGCACGAGTATAACCAGCAGGGTTTACAAGACTTTTCTGTGCCGGGGGGGATATTCACTAATTTACGGTGCCGGGGTGTGTGTGTGTGGGGGGGGGAATTAGCCAGCCTAATTCCCCCTGGTTCCTGCAGGCACTCACTGCCCCGGTTCCTCCAGCCTCCGGGCGGGGGAGTGCTTATCCCCCTGGTTCCTGCGCAGCCGCAGGAAGGGACAGGGGAGTTCTCATCTCCCGGTTCCTGCACAGCCGTCAGCCTCCAGCCTCTGGGCGGGGAGCGCTCCCCCCCCTGCTTCCTGTGGCTGTGTAGAAACCAGGGGGGTGAGCTCTCCCCCACTCGGAGGCTGCGCAGGAACTCACCAGGTGAGTTTAAAAAATTTTGTATACCCCGCACCTGAGTATACCCCACGGGGGAGTTGCGGGGTTTGTAAAAACGCATATAACCCGCAGGTGATATGCACTAAAATATGGTAAGTTGTTTAAACAAATGTGCTGCAATGGTAGAAAAAAAATTTGTGTGTCTGAAAACTGTAGGTACCGGGGGTACTTAACAAACATTTTTTTTTAAAAAGGGGTACTTTATAAAAAAAGTTGCGAAACACTTGTCTAGACTACATTCCTCTTTTGAAAGAGGAATGCAAATGAGGGAAATCGAAAATGCAAATGAAGTGCTGGTTTACAAATCTCGTGCTTCATTTCCATAATCACACGAGTGCTTTTTCGAAAAAGGTTTTTTCGAAAAAGAAACCACATTCTTTTGGGAAAAAACCAACCCTTTTTCGAAAGAACCCTTATTCCTGAAAAAAAATGAGGTTTACAGGAGTCTTTTGAAAAAGGGTTTTTTTTTTTTTCCCCGGTCTTTTGAAAAAGGTTTTTTTTTTCCCCCCGAAAGAACCCCGTTTCGACTGCTTTTTTTTTTTTTTCCAAAAAAAATCTCTTCCAAAAAAGTGATCAGAAGAGATTATGCACACGAAGCGTGAGATTTGTAAATCAGCGCTTCTTTTGCATTTTCGATTTCCCTCTTTTGCATTCCTCTGTCGAAAGAGGAGTGTAGTCTAGATGCACATTTTGGTGTTTGAGAAGATTTAAATCCCTACGCGACACACTTCCCAGAAGCCACCAAGGTTTAAACATGGGTTGGGAATTCAGGCCCTGAGGGCTGCACGGGTTGGATAGAGCTGGTCTAAGCATCAAGGCAAACTCCACAAGATACAGGGAGATACAGGAAGCCATGAGATACAGGGAGCTGTGAGAGACAGGAAGCCATGAGATACAGGGAGCCCTGAGATACAGGGAGCTGTGAGATACAGGGAGGCTCAGCCAAGCGGACAGTGTTGCATGGCACCTGTGCAAAGTGGCACTGGCAGGTGGGGGCTGGGAGGTGGGAAGAGCAGCTCCACAATCCCTGACCGGACGGGGCCTCGGGTGGAAGGGGCAGGGCTGGGGGCATCCAGCCCTCACTGCCCCCCTGAACACTTCCCTGTGGTGATGTAAAGGGCCCAGAGCCCCGTCCGGAACCACTGTGGTAACGGTGGCAGCTGGAGTCCTGGGACCCCCAGAACTTTTCCCCTCTCCCATACCCTGTTTGCAGCCGTGCAGATGCAGTTTGTCTGGCTTTAATCTGCACAGTGCCAGCTGGGTGGGGCTCTGTCCCTGTCCGGCAGGGACTCAGCCCTGGACACGGTTTTGTCCAGTGCAAAAAGGCAGGAGGAGGCTGAGGATGCAGCAGGACGCCGGTGAGGGAGGGGGTCAGGAGGGAGGAGTGGCCCCTCCATGCAGAAAGATGCAGGTGGGGACGGTCTCACAAAGGCAGGGACAGGTGCTCTGAGGCCGACCGATACGGGTGAGGGTGGGCCTGGGCGTGTCCTGTGTTCTGGGGACTGGTCAGTGACTCCCCTAATTGAGCAGTTCTGTTAAGCACAGTTGGGGATTGCCCCAGCGCTGCCACTAAAAAGGTTTAGGACAACACCCTCGGGACTGCTGCTCCATCCCCGGTACAGCTCCTGGCAGCAGTGCATTCTGGGAGATTCCCAAAGGCTGCCTGGTGGGGCTAACGAAACCACGTTGGCTGGTCCGTGGCCACTCGCGCAGATCAGACTGGCACTGGGCAGTTCCGGCCCGGGGTTAATTTTGCTCCAACCCAGTCGGATCCCAGTGGTACCTGACATGGCCCAGCACTGCCTGGAGCCCTGTTGTTGGCAGACTCAAGGCAGTCGGGGGTCCCACCCAGCATCCAGCCCAGCGACCTCCTCTAGTGCCGGCTGCAGCGACCTCCTCTAGTGCCAGCTGCAGCATCTGAGTTTAGCGCCTCATGGAGCAGCCCAGGAGCTCAGCGTCCCAGTCGGAAACCTCTTCTCCCTGCTGGGCCTGGGCTGTTATCACGGCGTCTTTCCAGCCTAAGGGCTGCACTCCATCACTACTCAGTGCTGCTAATGGGGCAGCGTGGCCTAGTGGTTAGGACACTGGCTTTTGGCCTTGGAAAATTGGGGAGGTGTACCCAGCTCTGCCACTGACTGCTGAGTGGGCTTGGACAAGTCACTTCCCCTCACTGTGCCTCAGTTTCTCCTCCCACCCTTTGTCTCTCTTGTCCAGTTAGAGTGTAAATGGCTCAGGGCAGGAATTGTCCCTCACTGGGTTTTATGCAGGGGGCCCCACAACTGAGGTCAGATCTCATCTGGGGCATGTAGGGGCTGCTGGGATGTCAACAACGACAATAAACACTGTGACACCCTTGAGAACAGCTTCCCCTTCTCCAGCCTGCAGGCAGCTCTCTCAGGCTACGTCTACACTGGCATGATCTTGCACAAGAACTCTTTTGCAGAGGAGTTCTTGTGCAAAAACTCTTCCAGAAGAGAGCGTCTACACTGGCATGTGCCTTTGCACAAGAGATGTGCTTTTGTGCAAGAGCATCCATGAATCCATGCCAGTGTAGATGCTCTCTTGTGCAAGAAAGCTCCGATGGCCATTTTAACCATCGGGCTTTCTTGCACAAGAAATTCATGTTGCCTGTCTACACTGGCCTCTTGCGCAAGAACAGTTGAGCAAAAGGGCTTATTCCTGAGCGGGAGCATCATAGTTCTTGTGCAAGAAGCCCTGATTTCATACATTAGAACGTCAGTGCTCTTGCACAAGAACTCGCAGCCAGGATAGACAGGCAGCAAGCTTTTGTGCAAAAGCAACTGCTTTTGCGCAAGATTGCACCAATGTAGACTACCTGCCAGCCCTGGGAGCTACCTGGCTCCCACCTCTACCCTGCCAGGGCTGCAGCGAGTGCCAGGCTTAAGGAAAGCAGGACAAAGCAGGTAAGGCTAGAAGTTTGAGTCTTCCAGTAGCATCACAGGTAAGATGCTGGATTCTACCACTAAGGCTCATGAGTTCAAATCCCCCCAACTCCAGGGTGGTGTTACACTGGGCTGAAGATCAGCAGGATAAGGCACCATGGGGTGGTGAGCTACATGAATTGTGTCATTTATTTTGAAATAGCTTATTTCATAATTTGGCACTGTCTACACTGCACCAAATTTAGAAATAACCTGCTAATTGGAAATGTCCCTTGCTCCTCATGAAGGATGGTTACAGGGATGTCGGAATAGCGAGCCTGTTTTATTTTGAAATAACGGTCTTGCTGTGGAGATGGGGGAAAGCTATTTTGGGACACTCCGGTATCCCGAAATAGCGCTGCAGTGTAGACATAGCCTCACAGACTGGCCTGCAGCCCTTGTCAGTCAAACCTCGCTGATCATTTCACAGCTCCCGGTCTGCAGACAGTTGCCACCGGTCACTGCTGGGAACCGGGTTTGAAAAGGATTCAGCGGCTCAGAGAAAACTTTCCCACATCAGACAAGCTTAAAAACTTCCTCTGCTGCCTTTTTCTGGCCAGGCTCGGGTATCATTCATTTGTGTAGCGACTTTCCTGCAAAGAAGGCTGCACACGGCTGAATGATGCAGTCAGATCTGTCCATCAAATGCAAAGTTATTATATTTAGTGGTCCAAACCCTTACCATTTAGGAGGAGTTTATATCTGCCTCTGGAATTTCCACTACATGCATCTGACAAAGTGGGTCTTTGCCTAATAAAGCTTATGCTCCAATAAATCTGTTAGTCTATAAGATGCCACAGGACTTCTCGTTGTTTTTACCTGTTAATTGCCACAGGACTTCTCATTGTTTTTACCTGTTAGAGGGCATTTAGCAAATCTCTCCCACTCTCTCTCATTTTCTTTGGTTAAGAAACACTCACACATCATAGCCCTCCTCCCTTGGATTCCTTTCTTGCAAATCCTTTGTACTGGGATAGTTTCCCACGGGGATTTTATGACTCTTGATATCTTCAGATAAATTTCCATCCTTATGCCATAGGACCAGATAGACAGACTCATACTTGGTGTGAAGGCCAGGATTTTAATAGAGTTTACAAAAGAGCTAGATAGATTCATGGAGGATGGATCCACCAATGGCTATTAGCCAGGATGGACAGAGAAGGTGTCCCTAGTCTCTGTTTGTCAGGAGCTGTGAATGTGTGACTGGATAGATCACTTGATGATTCCCTCTGGGGCACTATCAGAAGATAGGATATTGGGCTAGATGGACCTTTGGTTTGACCATGTATGGTCATTCATGTGTGTGTGTGTGTGTACGCGTGTGTGCACGTGTTCAGTATGGACACCACAAGAATCAAGAAAGAAATTAAAACAATCTGTTTATTGTTTTTATTATTAACAAATACTTTATCCTTTTATAAATACTACACTAACTTGCATTAAACATCTACAACTTGGTGGAAAATGCCAGACCCGGCACTTTTAGAAAATATACAACTTCTTGCTGCTAAAGGAAGAGGGGGTCCTATTCTTTAGAAGAAATTGAGGGCCTCTGGAGGTATGTCTAACTGCACACTTATTTAGGAATAAGCTATTTCAGAAGAAATACTCCAAAATAGTTTATTTAGAAATAGGGTTTCTACACTATTGGGAAGCCTCGAAATTAGTCCAAGATAGGCTCCCCTAATGTGGATGTGCTAACTCATTTTAGAGCTCAAGGAAGTATTGGGGAGTGATTACTAGGAATGGCTTTGGAGAGGAGCTATTTAGAAATAGTAGCAGTGGCGTGTCCACACTACCGCTATTTTGAAATAGCTATTTCAGAAGAGGGGTTATTCCTCGTGGAATGAGGTTGGAATAAGCCATCTGTTCTTTTGAAATAACAGAATTGCTGTGTCGATGCTCACATTGTTACTTAGAAATAACATCAGTTATTTCAAAATAACTCTGCTGTGTAGATGCACACTACGAAGGACTAGCCAGACCTCTAAAATGGTGGGAGGAGGAGCAGGCTGCCAGCTACTTTCTGGAAAATCAGCCGAGCAATGTCCTGTCACCACAAAATACCAGAAGGGGGGATGGTAAGCCCTACCTTGTACTCTTGTGCAGCCTCCTCTACAGGAACCACCGTGTGAGCGCGGTGAGCCCGGGACCTGTCGCACACCACGCAGATGGGGGTTTGATCCTCTTCACAGAACAGCTTCAGCACCTCCTGGTGCTCCCTGCACACCCCGGCCCCACCTGCGTCCTGCAAACTCAGCCTCCGGGCTATTTCTACCACGTTTGCCAGCTGCCTGTTGGGCCGGAGGGGTCTCTGTGGCACGGTTGCTCTGCACTGAGGGCAGGAGGCGGTGGGGCCGGCTCCCTCCCAGTACTGGCTGATGCAGATCTGGCAAAAATTGTGCCCATCCTCCAGAGTGACAGGGGCTGTGAAATATTCCAGGCAGATGGGACAGGTGGCTTCCTCCTGGAGACTTTCCATGGGGCTCTCTGCAGCCATGGCTGCCCCCGGTTTCACTTTCTTGAGTTCAGGACTTTGCCACACCTGTTGTAGCAAGGGGGCCTCTCCCTTCCTGCAACTGACGGAGGCTGTTTGCGGAGCTGGGAGGTGCCCCGTGGTAACACTAGATCCCTGGGGCACCTAAAGGCTCACATTTTATTTGGCCCAGGGAAGCTTAGACCCAGATACATTGGTTAACGCGTCCTTGTTCTGGCTGAAACAGAGTAACAAGGCTTCCCCGTCTGAAACTGGAGCGCTGGAGGTTTTGGGGAGAAATGTGCCACTCAGGGTGGGGAGTCACTGACAGGGGGGTGCCCAGTGCCTGTGCAGGAGGGGTGCATAAAGGGCACCAAAGGGGCAGGGAAGCAATTCAAATTTTGGTGGGGATACAGGGCAAGTTCGCCTCTAATTTTCCCATCCACGCACACTTATTTTATCCATATGCAGAATAATTATTTGATGTGCACCGAGGCACGTGCAAATGGCCACCACCAGGAGAAAAAAAACCCAACAACCCTCACCGTGCGCACTCTGCTAATGAGCTTGGCAGCCGCCCAAGCACACACCTTACAGGGAACACTGGTTTTGGTGGAGGGGGGTGCATCTCCTGAGTGCTACCAGGAGTCACCTATGGTCACAGTGGCTTCGCCTGGTCATCAGCACCTCCCTGTGGGGATGAGCCCACAGGTGCAGGGGCTGTGTGACTCTTGGCAGTACTCATTGTGGTAGTTTGCTGGATAATATTGCTATTTCTTTTTAAGCATTTTTTTCTTTATTTGCACCGAGATTTGTAGCTCCTGGGGGGCCAGCCCTGTCTTTCTTCCCTTGTCCTGGGCCCAATTGGCCACGTTCAAGGGGTTGCCTATTCTAGTGTTTCTCAACTTTTTTTTATAAAGTACCCCTTTTTCCAATATATAGATAGATAGATAGATAGATAGATAGATAGATAGATAGATAGATAGATAGATAGATAGATAGATAGATAGATAGATAGATAGATAAGTACCCCCAGTAATTACAGTTTTCAGACACACACATTTTTTTTCTACCACTGCAACACATTTGTCTAAACAACTTAATCGTAGGCGGGCGGGAGATGACATTTTTGGGTATAATAAAAAGCACAAAAATAATAAAGGGCTGTAAATCTTAAAACAAAAATTCGGTTTCCTCCAAATTTCAGTTGTGTTGACATACCCTCCCAGACTTCTCTCGGGTACTCCTAAGGATACCACTGGTTGAGAAACACTGTACAGGGTTTTTTTTCCAAATATGTTATTTTGGACTAACAACTCCCTAAATAACTATTTCGAAACAGCACGTCCCCACTACCGGGGAGCCTTGAAATGAGTGCGAGGCAGGCTCCCCTAATGTGGCAGGGATACCTCAATTGAGCGCCCCAGGAAGCATTGGGGAGCAATTACTTTGAATGGCTCTGGGAAGGAGCTATTTCAAAATGGCAGCACTGGAGCCGCCACACGACTGCTATTTTGAAAGAGGCCTGATTCCTCGTGAAATGAGGGCTTCATACTTTGAAATAAGAAGCCCGTTATTTCAAAATCATGGGCTTGCTGTGTGGCCACTCCCCTTGTTATTTCGAAATAACGTGAGTTATTTCCAAATAACGCTGTAGTACAGACCAGTGGTTCTCAACCAGAGGTACGAGTACCCTTAGGGGCACTCAAGAGAAGTCTTGAGGAGAGGGGGGAAGTCAACACAACTGAAATTTGGAGAAAACTGAATTTTTGTTTTAAGTTTTACAGCGCTTTATTATTGTTGTACTTTTTACACCCAAAAATGTCATCGCCCGTCTGGCTGAGATTAAGTTGTTTAAACAAATGTGTTGCAATGGGAGAACAAAATGTGTGTGTCTGAAAACTGTAGGTACTGGGGGGACTCATAATTCTTTTTGAAAAAGGGGTGCTGTATAAAAAAAGGTTGAGAAACATGGGTGTAGACGTGCCCTCAGAGAATAGCCTGGCTCCATCCTTTTTAGAACCCCTCTCGGGTAGCTGAAGGCAGAGATGGATCTGCTGAATTCACCCCTGAACCTTGCATATGGGGAGGGGGTAAGCTCCTTTCTCCCTTCACTGTATGGCCACATTACCCATCACTTGCCTTTCCGCCTTGTCACATCTCCTGGGATGTCTTAAGATCCTACCAGGGGAAGCTGAACCTCCCTAAATGTGGGGGGTCACCAGCACCGGACCCCTAGTTGCTTCCACTCAAGGCCATGTCCCTGCAGTGCTGCCTCTGACCCCAAAACTCTGCCTCCTGCTCACTGCTTTCCGCCCCCTTCACACCGATACTCACCCTTATGGACATTAAAAAGTGTGAAGGCAGAACCTGTCCTTTTTACATGGTCATGGAGCCTTCTCTCCCCACCCCGTTCCTGCCTCCCTCTACTTCACTCAGCTCTCACTGATGGGCCCTGGGAGGGAAGCTACCTTGCTGGTGCAACTGATTAACATGCAGCCTTTGTAAGACAACACCCTGATGACATATGCTGAGGTTGGGAGTTCAAGCCTTACCTAGACTCCTGATTTCTCAATATCCCAATGGCTTTACCCACATGTTTGGTTTATAGAAGCTGGAATTCCATCCCAGAGGACATGGAGGGAGGTATGTGTGAAAATGCCCCTTTTACTTCCAATCGCCTCACCAGGGTGAATGTTTGGCAGGTAGGACCCAGGGCCAAGTGGCAAAGAGAAGGCTGGGTCCTCTTACCACCAGGGTCTCGCTGCCCATCTACTTCCCTGCCACAGGCGGCCCCAGTCCCTTTTAGCCAGTGGGACAGTGGGAAAGGAGGCAGGAATGGGGAAAGTAGAGAGTCAAGATGAGGGAGGCAGGCAAATCTCGTATTGCTTTGTGGGCCACTCGCAGTAGCTTCTTGCTTTTGTGCTACGGCTGAGAAAAACTTCTCTGAGAAGTGGAAGTAGCTGTAATCAAAGCTGCCAAAGTAGCTCAGTTGGGAGAGCGTTAGACTGAAGATCTAAAGGTCCCTGGTTCAATCCCGGGCTTTGGCAGATGTTTTTCTTCCTGACGCTGAGCCCCTGTTTGGCTCCAAAGCACAGAAGGGTGTCCCAGATTGGCCTTGTCTGCCTTGCTGCTCCACCTGGGACCCAGTAAGTCCTCTCTTGCTCTGCCAGGGGAGGAAAAAAGAATTTCTCCTTTAAGAAGGAATCAAATCAGCCACAGCAGGCTCTCTTGTTAAACAGCCATTCAAGGCCTCCACTCTGCCGGCTGAGCCACGGAAGGGCATCGAGGGGCTGCAGTTTTGTGCAGGTTGGCCCATCTGCAAGTGTCAGGGCAAATGCCACCTGTGTGGGTGGCATCCTAGGGGAGGGGCAGAAAAACCCACCCGCACAGTGGGTTAACACGTGGGCTTCACATGCAAAAGGACCCTCGATCCAAACCGGGCAGAAACACTGTGTCTTGTTCTTGGCAGCTCCCCTTTCTGCCCTGGCAGGCGCTGCTCCGTCTCCCACTGGCCTTGGTCTGGCATTCCCGCCACCTCCTAGCACCACAGAAAGCCCCTTGGTGAGATCCTGGGCAAGCTAGGGGCCTCAGGCCTGTCACCGCTTGAAGCTTATGCCTTGGGCTCCTCTGTCCTTGGAGGCCGGCTCGTCCAGCTGTC